TTCCTATGTAAATTCGGGTCCTCTCTTGGCGTTCCAGCGGACCTTTACGATAGGAATGTGGCTTTGTTTCGTCGACTTGACCTCTCGATCCATGATTTCAACAGGTTCCTCTATGAAGTAGAGGTTCTCATTGATCTCAATTTCTTCCAAACGAATGAAAAGGGTTTAATCAGACAAACATTTCTTTAAGTTCGACACATGAAAGGTAGGATGAACGTTGTTGAGTTCCTATGGTAATCGTAGCTTATATGCTAGCTGGCCAATCCTGGAGAGGATTTCGAATGGTCCGATATACCTTGGATTTAGTTTTCCACGTTTTCCAAAACGTATTAATCCCTTCCAAGGGGATACTTTTAGTCGTACTCGATCCCCAACTTGGAACTCCAAAGGCTTCCATCTCTTATCCGCGTAACTTTTTTGTCGGTCTTGCGAAGCCTTCATCCGTTCACGAATTTGGATGATGTTTTCCGTTGTTTCTCTTATGATCTCCGGGCCAGTGATCGTGCTGTTAGGAACTTGCCCTCTTGCGAGTTGTGTATCGCCCACCTCAGCCCAACATAGGGGTGATCTGCACTTACGACCGTAGAGGGCTTCGTACGGAGCAAATTTGATGCTAGTGTGATAACTATTATTGTATGAGAATTCGATAAGGGGTAAATGAGCATCCCAAGCTTTACCAAATTCCATCACACAAGCTCTTAGAATGTATTCTAACTTTTGAATGGTTCTTTCACTCTGCCCATCGGTCTGTGGGTGGTAGGCTCTACTCATGTCCAGCCTAGTTCGCATAGCTTTCTGCAGTGACTACCAGAACCGTGACGTGAACCGACTATCTCTATCGGAGATAATGGATATCGGTACTCCATGAAGTCGTGCGACTTCTTTAATGTAGATCCTTGTCAGTTTCTCCATTTTGTCGGCCTCCTTTATTGGTAGGAAGTGTGCAAATTTGGTTAATCTGTCGACGATTACCCAAATGGTGTCAAGTCCACCCTTTGTCTTAGGTAACTTGGTAACGAAATCCATCGTAATCCGCTCCCACTTCCAATCGGGTATCTCTGGCTGCTGAAGTAGTCCCGAGGGATTCTGATACTCCACCTTAACCTTGGTGCAAGTCAGGCGCTTGCCCACAAAGGTAGCTATTTCGGATTTCACATTTGGCCACCAATACAGCTTCTTGAGGTCTAAGTACATTTTGTCTGAACCGGGATGCGCAAAGTAACGAGTTTTATGAGCTTCATTCATGAAAACGTCCCAGAATCTACCAAATTTTGGTGTCCATATCCGGTTCATGAGACAGCGAACTCCGTCATCCATGACTTCAAGATTTTTGTCCATTCCTCTCAACGCTTCACCTGCCACATTCTCTGGTTTTAAGGCTTCTTCTTGTGCCTCTTTAATTTGTGCGGACATGTGTGAATGGATGGTCATGGTTAATCCCTTTACTCAGCGGCCCGAGTATTCCTTTCTGCTCAAAGCATCTACAACCACGCTGACTTTTCCTGGGTGATAACGAATCTCACATTCGTAATCGTTTAGCAATTCTACGCATCGTGTTTTTCTCATGTTGAGTTCTTTTTAATTGAGGATATGCTGAGGGATTTTGTGATCGGTAAAGATAGTGCACTTTGTGTCTTAGAGGTAATGTCTCCAAATTTTTAGGGCGAAAACTACCACTCCCAGTTCGAGATCGTGCGTCATATACTTTACCTCATGCATCTTCAGCTGTCTTGAGGCATAGGCAATGACCTTTCCTCGTTGCATTAACACACATCCTAGACATTGGTTTGATGCATCGTAATAAACCACAAAGTCCTCTGTTCCATTTGGTAGGGACACGATCGGAGCATTGCACAAGGCTCGTTTTAGCGTTTGGAATGCAACCTCTTTCTTATCCCCCAGACGAAAGTCACTCCTTTTTAAGTCAAGGTGGTGAGTGGTTTTGCAATTTTGGAGAAGTTTTGGATGAATCTTCGATAGTAACCGGCAAGTCCTAAAAATTGATGGATTTTTGTGGGTATTCTTGGTGTTGCCTAGCTTTCGATTGCCTTGATCTTTGAAGGGTCCACATTTATTCCATCATTGTTGACTACATTTCCGAGGAAATCCACTTCTCGAATCCAGAACTCGCACTTTGAGAATTTTGCGTACAATTTCTCCACCCTCAGTGTCTCCAGGACTCGATGTAAATGTTGGCCGTGTTCTTCCTTACTTCGGGAGTAGACTAGTGTATCATCGATAAAAACAATCACGAACTTGTCTAAGTAAGATCAAAACACCCGATTCATTAGGTCCATAAATGTAATGCCCATGTTTCTGGGTTTGTCATTAATAGCGATGTAATAGTCTAGGTTAACCTTTGTAACCCGTCTTGAAATAATAAAGATGTATTATTTGACTATTATGTGTTTTGTGCTCAGTTGGGTGACTTAAATGAATTAAGGATAAAAATAAGCGTCAAAAATGAAATGTTAGGTAATCCCGATATCTATGAAGGATGTGGTAGTGGTCGTGACGAGGTTTCCGAATATATAAAGAATGCTGAAATCCGAGTTATAACGAAGAAGTTATGACCTGTCGAAGTTTTGCGATAGAACCGGCACGACAGTGAATGACGTAAAATACGAATTTAAGATAGAGTGATATCTAGCCTTAGTAATCTAAACTAAAGTGATAAAATATGTGAAACCGAGAGCGTACATAAAAAGAACGCCAAAATCTGACTTCGTATGAGGAAGTTATGATTTTTCGAAGTTTCAGCTTAGCAATAGACAACCCGAAGTTCGAATATGAGATCGAGCGATATTTATCCAAAACTTTCTAAATAAGAATTGAAGATATCATGAATAGTAGTGCAACGATGGAAAAACAGACGAAAACGGACGTCAGACGAAGGAGTTATGATTTTCTAACAGAGTTTTCTTGTTCCGGTCTACTAAAAATAATATAATAAATATATAATAAAAATAAAATCAAAATTAGCCGACGGAGTCTAAACGAAAGTTGTATATCATGTTTTTACCTACGCGTGGAAAAAAAGAACGTTGAGAACAGAGCTCGTATGCGAAAGTTATGAATTTCTGAAGTTCGGAGCGCAAACCCCAACAATGTGTTAGAGTTCACGACGTGAACTCGGTACTGAAGCCTTCCAGAGCAAGTGGACTGATGACGAACACAATGAAGACTGCCTGACTGAACTCACAACGTGAGTTTTGAGATTTCACGACGTGAATTCAGTATTTCAGCCCTATAAATAGAAATCGAAGGGCAACCGATTTTGGTTGCTATTTTCTTACTCTCCCACTCCCGATACCCTCTCTAAGACCTATTCTAACCCCTCGAAGCCCCGGTATCATCCCGAGATCTGAAGCGAGTCCTGAAGCCCGAAGATCCCAAGAAGAAAAGAGTTTCCGAGCCGAAGCTCTGTCTGCGAGAAGCCTGATGTGTGAAGATCATCCAGATCTACCGAAGAATACTGCTTACGCAAGCCGTAGTGCTGTCTGGTCATCTTCTGATCAAGTGAGTGTATATTCCTTTTCTTCTAACACATAGATATAAAGTATCTCTGAGTGAATACGTGCTATGTATATATAGATATATATTATCTGTTGCTTGGAATGAATCTGTATATTTGGAACGAGTATTAAATGAATATCCTATCGGTTTTTAAGTTGCATATGTATGCATATGTATATTGTTATCTACAAAATGTTGGGTAGAACTTGGGTAGATAGTTGATGTGTGATAAACTGATGAAAGGCCTCGATGTTGTTGATGTTGACCTAGTCATCTAGCGGAGTATGGATGACAACCACAGACTCTTTCTAGATAGTCATGTGGAACGCTAGCAGGTTCATAACCTGTAGGTCTTGTGAACGATGTGTTCACCGGTGTAGTCTATCCCCCTCATGGTTTCCTTTAGGACATCTATTGTTGAGGAAACCCCTTGCAGTAATGTCCGTCTCGATGAAAATCCTAGATTAGGTCCCTTGTAATAGATGTTGTTTTAGGGACGTAAAGTGAGGATAACGGGAATGAGTAATCGGGTTATTGTTGATTGGTGAAAGTAAATATAATTATTTATTGTGGGTTGAAAACCCTATATGCTCACCAGGTTCCCAAGCCTAACCCACTCAGTCTTATTTGTATTACAGGAAGTGGTGTGAGGGCATAAGATGGATGAATCATCAAGTTGTTTTGTTTATGAGCCTGTATGTGTATATAACTGTTGTATGGCTTGTGATATTTCGTTTATGCTTTTTGGTCTGTATCGGAACATGACATCCCGAATATTGTTAATTAATGAAAACGCATCTCTTGATGAAATGCTTTGATAAACTTTATTTTACCCTATTTTGTTTTGGGAACAAATTCCACAACTCTTTTAAATCAAAAGGATTTACTCTGAAATTATTTTAAAAGAATAAATGAAACCGGTCTTTTCTGGCCGTGATTTTGGGTATGTCACAGTTGGTATTAGAGCATTAGGTTAAGCGAACTAGGAATTTGTAAGATTTTTAGACTTAAAATTAGAATGCTAAGAATGTGGTAAATATGACAGTTCAAAGATCACAAATGTTTTTGAACAAAGAGTGCTAAAAATACAGCTGTAACATTGCATGTTCGAAGGACTATAACTAAACCAATATTAATCAAATTTAAATGACTTCTGAACCTAACTTGGAGCTAACACAAAGGAGAATATGCAGAAACAAATTTCATATCATTCCAAGCTAGTATGAGAGAGATATGATAGCTCAAAAAAAAATGGCTGAAATATTTGCTTCAAGCATTTTAACAAACATTTGGCGGGCAAATCAGATGCACAAATCTTTATTTAAATCATCGTAGTCATAACTCATATCAAGAATCAATTAGTTGTAACTTGTACGAATTCTGAGTAGTTAACAACCATTACCAAACGCTCGTTCATGTGCTTCGTAGATTCAACTTCATAAAAAGCCCAAAAGCTTAAAAAAAATAAAAAGAAGGAAGATTGATTACATATGATTACCATTACAGACTGTTATTGCCTGAGAAGATGGGGAATTAAGCATCAAAAGCAATGATGAAGGGAGAAAAGTTCTTCCATGACTTTTGGGACGATCAACCGAAGATGACGATGGAGAACTCGAAGATGAAGTGAACCGATTTGAACAACTCCTTGGTTTCATTTTAATTTCTGCTTCATTACACACTTTGTGATCTTCAATTCCAACTTTAGTCGAATTTATACTTGCTGGAACTATATAGTTGCACAGGAAACCTAATCATCACCGGAAAAAAGTGTCAGGAATTTCATTCGAAGATTCCAGTCGTCGGTTGTTCATGAGATCCAAAAGCATACTCAACTCCATGAACTAGAAACGATATTGTACAAAAAAAAACATGTTTAGTTTAATGAAACTATGAGTGAGCATCTTAATACATGGGTCTTCTGCTACTCTGTAAACTTGTCGGAAAGCTTCTAGAGTTGTACCTAATGGAAAGTCAATGGATTTTGCTTCCTCCATCAT